TTATTATTGTAAGTGAGGTGGCTTCTTGGCTTATTATTGTAAGTGAGGTGGCTTCTTGGGTCTCCTCGCCTTCTAACTGTTATCGCTGTAATTAAATATTTTTTATTATTAAAATAAGGCAAATAAATATGATGATGATGAAGATCCTTCGTTATTAAATTTTCAACTCCAGATTTTGCATTTCCATTTTTCTGATTGGTTCCCTCGACTCCGGTTATCAGCTCATATTCCTAGCGACTCTCTATGGAAATGCATTGCGGCTATTGTTGTGGAGCTAAAAAAAAGTTCCAAACATCTAAAAATTAAAAAAAAACTATTCCAATCGCGGTTTTTGGATACGAAATTGGTTACACCCAACTTGGCGCACACTTGGGATCTGAATAAGTTTCAGTGTCCTTTTGTGCTACACTAGCTCACTAGTTTAGCGTATACTAAAAGAAATATCCCCCTTGGTGTTAGTGTAAGGAAATGTATGACACTCAGGAACGAGAATTGCTACTTAGAATATGGAAGTAATAAGACTTTATTTATTGAGGATAGCACGTGATAGTGCACAAACACTAATAAACTTGTGGTCCTCTAAAGTTAAAGGATTAAACATTCAAAACCATGGCATGAAGTGCAATGGAAAAATAAACCAAACACTATATGATTCAAATCAAAAGCACATTTACTTTTCAAAAAGGAATACTACATGTAGCATATATAGCTCTTAAAAACTGTAAGAACTACATCAAATGGACCACACCACACCACACCACACCACAGTACAGGTGTGATTACCTGCATATGTTCCAAGCCATTCAACAGCGCTTTGCCACTTTCTTGTACTCTTTGAAGTAAGCTTTCCTCTTGGATCACTTTAACAACTTCTTTTAAAAGGACAAGTTTGCTTTGATCCCCCATCCACGTGTTAAAAATACGTAGTGGCTAAGAAAAAATCAAAAACAGTCAAATATATGAAACAATTACTTAGGAACAAATGAACTCGTTTTTGAACTTGCTAATTTTCCGGTGAACTCGGCGCAGGCGCCAATAGTAACCAACCACTTTTCACACTTTTCACGTTCCCAGTTCCAGTCCCAGTCCTAAAACAGCACCCTTTCAATTGTTCAATATAAGCGGACCGACAACTTTAAAAACGGACCGAGAGTTTCACTTGACTTTCATCTGTGCAACGTCCAGCACAATAGCAGGATTCAGGTAGGAGGCGACTGGTATGACCAGACTGATACGATTTACAACGGAATGGTATGACCTGCAAGCTTTGATTTATGGCAAAGGTAACCACCCATAAAACCGGCTTTAGCACTGGGTACATGTTACTACACCAATGCACAGACCGTAACAAACGAGCAAAAATGCACATCGAGTTACAGCTAGAGTACATCATTCTAAATAAGACAATGAAACTATTGGCACAATAAAACTGCAACACGTTGTTTTACTGGAATAGAAACTAACCTGCTGAACTCGTATTTCTGGCCTATGGTAGAACCCACCGATCAGCATCTTTTTTGAGAAGGTCACTATGTCAGGAGGTTCAACGAGACCCCAGTGTTCGTGTGCCCTAACGGGTCAATAAAATTATATCTTATCTACTTTTTTGGCTTTCATTTTTTTTATGTGTTTTTGCTTGTGCAAAAATCGTTAAAAAGGCAGAGCTCTGCGTGTCAAATGTCATTTTCCTTGATTCTTTCTCAGAGAAGTCTTCAAGTCAAACCAAGGTAAGATTTCGAGAATTTTACTGGAAATCCTGTAAGAAATATGTATTATGTAATCCTGTAAACAAGATGGTCTAAAGGACTCCCTGTGAATGCAACAAAATTTACGAACTAAACGAACTGCGTAAGTAAGAATTAAACAGAGACATCCAACTCGCTAAAACGCAGACAAGAGCACGTACATAACACAGAATGCTGCACGTTTTGAAATGACGTAAAGTGTATCAATCGAGGTCCCCATAGTTTTACACATGCAGTGTTAATGAGGCTGGTACCGAAACTACAGACAGATGGATACCCTTCATCGAGAAATCTGTAAAGTTATGACTCAACAGCAGGACAGCAGACCACTGAGGAAACTCGTCATCGAAATGCGCCAATCACTGATTTTAAAAACCAACCAATCACAGCGAAGCACAAAGCGACAAAGGGTGACGTGTAACCAGTGGCCCTCAACGTCTGTAGAAAACTAGCTCTATGCAGTCGACATGTAGCAATTCACATCGTGTCTAAGACTGTGTTGAAATTTCGGGCGAGTTTCGATTTCATGGTTGTAAAAAACTTCAGAGTAAACTGATTAGAATCCGTCTTTTGCGCCCATATTTTGATGACACAAGGAAATATTAGAAATGCGTTATTTTTGCATCTACGCAACGCGGTTCTTAAGACTAACCGAGAGCCCAATACAACCTCAGGGAATTTAACCCTCGGTTCTCATGGTAACCAGCGCTGAAATCACTTTTTTTTTTCCAAGACGTATTCGTGTTTGGTTGATTAAGGGTTAATATAAATACTTACCAGAATTTCCCGGTACTTCCACATCCTGTCTGTACTTCATCAACAATAAACAGAGCACCGAACTGCCAGGAAAGAGTTAAGATTACTATGACAATAGGTATAAAAACAATAATAACGGTAATAATAATAATAATGATAACAATAATAGTAAGAGTAAGCTTGAACGGGTTATCAAGAGTAAGCTTGAACGGGTTATGAAGATGGTTAAGTCATCTATGGAGGATGTGGGGCTCCAGTGGAACCTAGAGAAGTGTGCGGTGGCCCATGTGAAAAGGGGGGTACAAGTGACTGCTTTCTCAGGGGGAAGAGTTGTGGAGTCGACTAGAATACCATGTCTTGATGCGTCAAATCAGTTTGCATTGCCTGTCCTTGGTTATCTTATGTGGACACAACAATGGCCGGTGATGGAACTTAAGCAGATCGATAGGGAAGCGCGCAAGATTGTTGTCGAGAGTGGGGGTAGACACCCATGTAGTTCGAATGCATTGTTGCATATGCCAAGAAGTAGACGAGGGCGGGGATTGCGCTCTGTTGAAATGGAGTACAAAGCCACAAAAATCAAGGGTGCAGTCAGACTCCATGGTAATGAAGATCGTGCACTGGGAATGGTACGGGAGTTTGAAGAGCAAGCGGCGAGGATGGGGCGTAGGTCAACTTTTAAAGAAGCGGCTAAGTGCGCGGAGGAGTTGGGTCTGGAGTTGGATTTGGAACACGCATAAGGGATCAAGAAAGAGGTGCGGAGGTGCCAAATTGAGAATTTAGAGGATGAGATCAGAAACCAACGGTGGCAAGGGCGTCTAGTGACTACTAGGCTGGAGGATGAGAGTTTGAGTGCTGATGGGTGTTTCTGGTGGCTCACAGAGTGGAAGAACTGCCCATCACACACAATTGCTGGACTCGTCAAGCTATACGAGCAGCTATTGCCAACACGAGTATACACGAGTCAGAAGACCCACACAAGCAGAGAAGGCGAGGTGAGGCGCAGATTATGCGGCAAGGCTCCAAAGAGTGTGGCACATATCTTGTCAGAATGCAGTGCGCTGGCCCAGAGAAAGTACCTCTCTAGACACGACGCAGCACTGAAGGTACTGTTTTACGAACTGTTGTATGATGAGGGATTTATAGACGAGATACCACCCTGGTACTCACCCGACAAGCCGAAGCCCGTGTATGAGTCAGAGAATGTTAAAGCTTATTGGGATGTCCCTATATATGCTGATCAACAAGAGGTCAGATGCAATAGGGTGGATGCACGCATTGTAAATCATATGTGCAAGAGAGTTGTGACGCTGGAAATGAGCTGCCCGTGGGTTAACAATCGGACAAGAAAGGATGAAGAGAAGACACTGAAGTACGGACCCCTTCGCTGGGAACTAAGGCAGCAGTTCCCAGGCTACGAGGTGAAGCAATATAACATCATTATGGATGCCCTCGGGGGGTGGTCACGGGAGCTGGATGTCATGATGCGCGAGCTGGTGGGAGGCAGAAGCACAGACGTACTGCGAAAGATGCAGAGGGCAGTGCTCTCGGGCACGCTGAATATTGCCCGGACTTTCAAGGTGGCAGTTTGAATTCCTGTTAGAAGGAGGACCGTAGACACAACGGAAAAGCTTTTTAGGATTAGTTAATGTACATTTATTTTTTTACTCCATGGCTCACAGGTTACGGTTTTCGCCCTGTGCTGCCGGATTAGAATGTAGCATTCAGTTGATTTCTCTGCGACATAATAACGATCTTTCTTGGTCAGTTTGTTTTCGTGTGAAGTGTTTTACTTTTAACGATCCGTCCGCTGGCTAAAATAAGTTGGAATTTTAAACACACTTGATGGTTTTTTACAAAAACGGAACAAAAACAAAAACAAAAAAAAAAACAAAACAAAAAATAATTAAACTTACTAAATTTAATCTGAACGTATGGTAACAACAAGCATACTTTAGTCGCTTGTACTGTGTATGCAAAATATTCAGCGTGCATATGTACATATGGATGTAGAGCCACTCGTGACAACCCAATTTCTCGGATTGATGGGTTGCCATATTTTCTCAAGGAATGGAGCTTCAGTAAAAAGAAAAAGACCCAGGATAACTGGATTCTTACCTCTTTAGCAATCCTCTGAAGAGAATTAAAGAAGTCAGCACTTGCATGGTTATCTCCTGAATGCAAATAAAATATTTCAATATATAATCATATATATAATAATATATATCTCTAGGTGCAAATTGATTCCCTTTTCTCACCTCCTTCAGCTTGAATGGGTTCGACAATTATTCCTGCAACTGGTTTGCCCGCATTATTACTGTCAATGATCGCCTGACGGGCCTAATTTAAAGAAACCAGAATAAAAAACAGAACTACAAAATGTTGTAAAAATTGAAATAGCATTACTAACATAAAACCTTAAACTATGGCAATTGACATTTACCATTTCCAAACATTTATCTTCTTCTGCTTTGTTTTCTCTTTCGTATTTTGTTAGTGGATACTTCAGGACAGGAAATGGCGCCTTCGGCCAGTCAAATACAGGAATGTCTACTCTTGCCATTGCTTTTGACCGGGTTGTGGAAAGAGCACCTGATGACGAAAGAGCACTGATTAATGTGAAAAGTAACGACTCCGTCCATTCCAAGCCCAATCGTCTATATTTCTATTAACAGAAGTCCAGCCTAAGGGGGGAGAGGGGCGGCGGGAAGGGTTGGGAACGTTAACTTTCAGGTTACTAAAGATGAACATCTTAAATTGCTAAATTCTAGTTCGTAATTGTCCAAATACAGAACTCATTTCAGGCGCATTCTTAAGCATCCCAGCCACTATATCAACCAATCAGTAGTCTCACCTGAGGGAAGCCCTCTAAAAGAAACCAATGAGTTGCCACTGAGAAGACACAGGAAATATAATTTATATATCTTATTAGTATAATTTCAGAGCTGAGCAAAGAGTTTCCAGAAATCATCTCCATAAAATCCTCTACAATACAAAATATTAACAGCGTAAAAAACGATCCAAAATAACTCACTTTCGGCTTACATCTACTACTCCTTTTTTTTAAACACGAAGGCGCGCTATAAAAGGAGCCTTAGGTCCCACTGGACCATTTGTCAATCAACCGTCGTGTGATGTAGAACTCTTAGAGTCAAGTCAGCTTGAGCTACAGCTACTCCAAAGCAGTGAACAGCGGGCGCATTCCTCAAAATTGTTTTATGTCTTCGTCACAATACAAGAATTTTTGAGATTTGTATTTCCTTTCTCCAATGGAAACTGTCTTTATTTGTGGCGGTAAATTTGAGATCGAAGTAGGTGGTTCGCACGTTACCTCATGCCACCATGCTGGTGGAAGTAAACAATAGATATCTCATTAGCTCCTTTTGTTCGTCTACCAGCATTTAAATTTGACCCGCACACGTCAACGGTGAGTGACAAATGAGCCTAGGTCTTCCCAGGGAAGACTTCCTTATATAGCGCGCCTTCGTGTTTAAAGATAGTGTCTCTCCGCGGATGAACACTATCGCGTGACGTGATCGATTTAAACCAATAAGAACCGGAGAAAATTTAGTATAAACCGTACGGAATACACTGTCGAAGGTCCACTGTCTAGTGAAATCAATTAGATATCCAGAAACGGCGCAGCCGAGAAATTGCGGCCTCAGGGCTATTGTTTCGAAGACAACGAGCTTCTATGCGTCGCGCCTAATGAAAATGTTTACATAGTAACTTGTCATTGATTGGGGGAAGAATTTTCAATTTCGAATATAGATATGTTATTAAATGTTTTGTTGTGTAGTATCGCTGAGTATTTTTACGAGTTGTGCCGTATTTTGACGAGCCCGTAGGGCGAGTCAAAATACAAATAACGAGTAAAAATACTCAGCGATACTACACAACAAAACGTCTAATAAGTTATTTATTATCCAACACGCCAAACTGTTATTTCAGTGCGGGCGAATTTCGCGGATATTTATTTACGGGGAGTGCGTAACAGAAGTATGCGAGGCAAAATGGAATTGGCGCGTTGTCGTGGTGTTGTTTCTATTTTCTTCAATAAATGAAGAAATTTCCTAGTCATCTGGCTGTTTTTCTTCGTTCGACTCATCTAATAAACTTGGATCTACATTTGCCAGCCATTCTGACTCTTCGTCGTCGGAAATATGATTCAAATTGTCCGCCCGCGAAAACCTGTTTAGCCGGTACTCTAGAGTACAAATACCGCATGATATTTGTGCTCGTCTATGGCATTATTTGTACTCTACGAAGTGTGGTTGGATAATAACGACTGTTATTTTCAATCAGACTGTTTTATCCCAAACTTAAAAAACCGCAATGTCGAAAGCGTTAATCTAGTCACCATTCAAAGGCTTATGGCCGCCCAAGCCGGCGTGAAAGAGTCTGACGACAAAAGGCCTTCAGTTGGTGCTTCTGACTTTAGACAGTGAGCAAGGGCCTCGAACTCCTTGGTTGGGTCGATAGACACAATGTACAGTCTCTCTCTTGAAAGACTCTTCTCTTGAACTTGTTTTACTGTGGAAACCACGTCCACTGAGCACCGACCAAAGCAAAAGTCTTCCCGAGCTTCTGACAGGTTGTCCTCAGCGATGTATTTGAGACGTCTGGATGCGCGTGAATGCTGTCTTGCTATACTGATGAATGGGAATCTCGGAGATATCACCAAAATTGTAATAATTTACTTGTGCACTAATTTGCGAGAATAACCAGATACAACTCATAAGCTAATGATATTCACAAGTTTCCTTGCTGACCATGGTCTAGAGCCAGAATGAACTTCCTTCAGTACAAGAAAAAAAGCCGTGTCTCGTTGCTGCAGAATACTCTCCTTGAGACGGAGAAACTTGCTTTCTGTTCAAAGTCATGACCACCAGCCAAACTATTTCAAACCTAAAAACGATCTTCCGAAAAATGAGGATTTCCGAAACCCTTCCAAAACCGTTTTTTTGTTTTGGACATATCAGAGTGTCTTCTAAATAACCCCAGTCTAGTGGAGAATTCGATTGAGCACTACAAACCATAAAAATGGTCATGCAGGGAAATTTTGAGGAATATACAACTCTCTCGACTTGCATAGATATTCCACAACATAATGGCCACTCAACAGCCCCACTAGGCCTCGGTCCAAAGTAATGCACTAGAATTCCTGTTCACTCTGATAAGTCTCAGCCCCCTGGCAATATGTGGCACAATGTGGCGGTGAAGTTTATTGTGACACGTTATAATCAGGTGTGGTTCAGAGTGAGGTAATGTAATGTTTCATGCGCAGTCCAATGCAGAGCGACGGTGAGGTGAAATGATGAATACGGTTAAGTGATCTTCCACTACCATGTCAATGCGAAAAATTTAAAAATCTACATTGAAATGAAAAACTTGTAATAAACTAAGCTGACGAGTAAAAAGCTCTTTCGTGAAAAGTGAAAAAAAAATTAAAAATAACATGTCCATAAAATTAGATTCCATTGCTACTATTAACGAACTAATTGTTCTTACTTTTATGCCTGTTAAATAACATATTTATTGTGTTTCCTGCCAATCAATGTGTTTTCTACAACACCATTATCCAAGACAATTTAACTTACCCAGAGTTCGACCATGAAATCCTCTCTCAAAACCAAGAATTGCTAACGGTGGTGTGCCAGGAACCTAACAGTACAGAAAATTCCCTTTTGTATAACCATTTATGGTAACGAACAATTGTTCTAAGGACCAATAATCACTTGTTTCAACATATACCAAAGACATACGTTTGTGAAAATGTTGCAAATCTACTGCAGTTGTAATTCTTTTGTAATGACCTTCAATGTTTTGTTACATATGGACTCAAAATTTATTTACAAAATTAAAGTGACTAAACCTTGTCCCATGTTTAGTTACAACCTGAGCACAACACAAACGATAAATTTGCACCAATGCAAAAACATGCTTACCAGTCGTTTCGTACCCATGGAAACCCATGGATCTTTCGTACCTAGATGATTCGTACCCAGGCTCAGACGTTTCGTACCAACTTTCGATCAGTTCGTACCCAACCCTCTGGTCGATTCGTACCCAACAAATTATGGTACAAAATGTTTAAAACAAACAAACATTTATTTCATTTATCCCAGTAATCGCAAAGAAAACTAATTTCTAATCACAGAAATTTTGGAAAGTTATCTTTTAGTTAATACTCTTGAAAAACCTTGACCTAGTTGACCCATCCTAATATATTTTGCCCACAACTACGCAGCGCCTACGACTAAACGTACCTATTCTACTCAGTAAAAAAGCTACTTTTTAAATCATAGTAACGTTCAAAAGTTATCTTACTCTTGAAAAATCGTGACCTAGTTCCCCTAGCTGACTTATCCTAATATATATTCTGCCCATTATCACGGAGCGCCTTACGCGGACCACTGACACTTTTACTGTTAAGTAAAGTTCAACAATAATTATAACAAATAAGATCACACTTATACCCTGCGCGTGCGAGCGTACATCTTAATTTAAAAAGGCTGAAAGTTTCTAAAGAAACTAAGGTGCTGCGTCGGTGGGGGTAACAAGATAATTGGTTATATCATCTAAGTTGAAAATGTAAATTGGCCACCATAACGAATAAAAAAAGCTGAAGTTTCGAGCGTGAGCCCTTCCGAGCGTTAGCCCTTCGTTAGCCCTTCGTTAACCCTTTCGAGCGTTAGCCCTTTCGCTCTGACGAAGGGCTAACGGTCGAAACGTCAGCTTATTTATTCGTTACGGTGGCCAATTTACAATTTCAACTTAGTTGATATAACCATGCATCTTAATTTGTTGGGTACGAATCGACCAGAGGGTTGGGTACGAACTGATCGAAAGTGGGTACGAGACGTCTGAGCCCGGGTACGAATCGTCTGGGTACGAAAGATCCATGGGTACGAAACGACTGGATACCAAACACATAATTGGACGATTGAAGTTTTTTTTCACAAGTGTTAAGTGTTCTCAAGGGAAAGGTCAGCACCCTTAGTGTCAAGGTTAAAATCTAAAGGAATACAAACACCTGAAAGAGTAAACCCACCTGGGATTTCATGCAGCTTGTTAGGTCCTCCAAGGAAGGTTCAGGATTACCCCGTTGTTTAGTCTAAAATGAGTGAATAAATCTTACGATCATGAGTGTTTCCTTAGTTCTACCTTTAATTCATCCTCGGAGACCCAGGGGCTGTCGGTCGATTTCAAGTTAGGGCATGAAGAGCTCCTAGGACATTGTCTTACAAGACTAGTTCCAAACGGTCGCAGTCGTTCTGCCATCTGATTGGTGCCAGAAAATCTTTATGTTTTTCTGCCCAATCAGAGTGAAGTGTGTTTTAGAGTCCTTTCGTGTGTTTTAACACGGACATATACTAGTAGCTCAGTTGCTCACTATGTTTGTTCGGACCGTGCGACGGAGATTGTTTGAGGTGAAAAGTTTCAGTCTCAGCACACAATGTAAGAGAAATTGATCAGATTGTCCGCGAAAATCTTACCGGAAATTATAGTGAATACTTTCGCAGGTATCACTAGAGATCGTGTTTTAAAGTTTGCGAGGTTTGGACACAACACGATGGTTGCAGTCATTGACGTGTCGCTTTAAACGTTAAACGAGATTTAAGCTTAAATCTTTCTAGATTTTTTGCATAATTTGCTGTGACTGAAACTTTGCCAATCCCGTGAAGTTATTTCGTCGCACGGGCCACGCAGATATGTCGAGCAACTGGTACTTGCGCAACTTTCTGTGCGTGCCAAAATCAAATCTCATCTTCGCTGGAAAAAAAAAGAAAAGCTAAGCGTGGAAACTTTTGCTTATTAGATGTGCGTAGATGACCCTGTACTACTAAGCTGACATTTACAATAAAGCAAACCCGCCCTTTCCATCCAATATTTCTTGGTCTTTGTTTTTCCCATTGAAAACAGCATCTCGGATCGATTCTCAATGATCAAAGGTATTCAACTTGGTCTTCAACAATCGACAGAAGAGGTGAAATGACAATGACCAAGGGACTAGAAGAGAATCCGTGGCCTTTCTGGCTCAAGAATTTCAATACTCTAGACAGCAGTTGAAAGACTGAACTCTTTCTAAACCCCTTCGGTAACTGCCCGAAAACATCTCTCTTTCCCACGATGTACTCGTTAATAAGTTTTTGTTCAAATAAAATTAATTAGCTAACCGGAAACACAGCTAAGCTCTCTCTTAGCACTTGCTGGAGGTCGTCCACGAACTTAACGTTCTCTGCAACCTTGGCCGTATTGTGAACGACTTTACTACTAAGATTAGATTTTGGCGCGCACAGAAAGCAGAAAGCTACGTAGGCGAAAGCGCCAGTTGCTCGACATACCTGCGTGGCCCGTGCGACGAAATAACTTCACGGGATTAGCAAAGTTTCAGTCACAGCAAATTATGCAAAAAATCTAGAAAGATTTAAGCTTAAATCTCGTTTAACGTTTAAAGCCACATATTAATGACTGCAACCATCGTGTTGCATACAAACCTCGCAAACTTTAAAACACGTTCTCTAGTGATACCTGCGAAAGTATTCACTATAACTTCCGGTAAGATTTTCGCGGACAATCTGATCGATTTCTCTTACATTGTGTGCTGAGACTGAAACTTTTCACCTCAAGCAAATCTCCGTCGCACGGTCCAAACAAGCACAGTGAGCAACTGAGCTACTAATATATGTCCGTGTTAAAACACACGAAAGGACTTTTGGTTATAATATAACCAAAGTAAAGCGCGCGCTCTGATTGGTCAATTCAGCGTCCCCCATTTGCCCATGGGTGCACGCTGCTGACGTGAGCAAATGCAAAGACCATTTTTCCGCGCGCGCTTGTTTTTTTCTGGTCACGTAAGATTTGTTAAATAAAAGGGAGCTCTTTAGCTACGATGTATCAATGTTATGTTATAAAACAAATGGTAAACACCACAGCGTACACTATTGAGTTATGGATGCACTTGGGAGGTTTGCTAAGCACTCAAGAAGCTAGAGTCGCTCTCGGCTATCGCCTCGCGCGACTCTTACGCTTCTTTCGTGCGTAGCAACCTCCCGCGTGCATCCATAACTCAATAGTGTGCACTGTGGTGTTTACCATTCGTTAACTTCACTCTGATTGGGCAGAAAAACACAAAGATTTTCTGGCACCAATCAGATGGCAGAACGACTGCGACCGTTTGGAACTAGTCTTGTAAGACAATGTCCCCAGGGGCTCTTCATGCCCTAACTTGAAATCGACCGACAGCCCCTGGGTCTCCGAGGATGCCTTTAATTCATCCTCTATAAAAAGACTGTCACGATAAAAAAAAACAAAAAAAACACATATACTCGCCACACAAACGACAGGCTAGCAATTTGCTGAGTTTGATCCAAGGTAATCTCATATTTTGAATTCGCATTCTTAACGGCTCGAGCAAACTGACCGCTAAGAGATGCAAAAAAAGAGTGGCGAGAGTTACTTCAGAGATAAGCTGCCAGGTTGCTAGCAAGATTAGAAAAAAGGCACCATTTTAGAATTCTGAGCACATTTGAAGAGAATTGCAACCCATGGTAAGCAGCAAATTTTTATACATACTGTACCGTTAAAAGATGAAAATAAAAATTATTTGACCTTTGAATAGTTGAGCAAAGTGAAAGTAGAAATTTGAGGTTATAATTTAAATCGAAAGACTTGAAAGAAGAGTGTCACTAACCCTATAATGCATAAAAGCCAATTTAAATGCATTCTCTACTGAGCAAGTTCCACAAGCCATTGTGGTTACCTCACAGAGTCCAGGTGGGGCTACCTGTAGAAGAAGTTAGGAATTTTAAATCATAAATCAACTCGATATAATCATCTCATAAAAATTCAAAATTATTAAATTTGTTAAAAAGTCCTTTTCATTATATGTCTGGTTGACAGTGGGTCTAAAATGCAGGTCAATATTTAGCAATTATTAACCTCAGGTTCAGTGAATATTGCTGAATATTGTTGAAGGGACTGTTCAACTATGTTCACTGAACCTGAAGCAAATGATTCAATTGAATTGCTACACTAGCTGCCAGTATTTGTCAGGTGATGAGATTGAACCATTAAAATTACCAAACACTGGCTGTTGTATCTCAAACTTACACTTATCAAAGCATCTTTTAAGTCTTGAAAAAAGGAAACTGGTGGATAGAGACCTAAGGCTGCACGGTTGACAAAGGATGACTGCAAAAAATCACAGATGAGTTAAACTTCAACTTGGTACAATTCTAAAATGACATCTGCCTCTGTACTCCATTCAAAACCAACCAGGTTGCTTATTTGCCCTCTTGCAGCTTGACATCATCAATGTTACACTAACCACACACATTTAACCACCTTTAGACTGTGCAGAAACCTGTCACACTGTGGCATTATGGAACAATCTTGTCCAAATGGGCTCCAGCAAATGTCCCTCCTGTATTGCACATATTCATGTATGCAAATACTAATTAGCACTGATATCACAATTAACAACTACCAGTATTAACTGAAGTGAAGGTGCCTGACTAGTGGTTAACAAGTGTATACCAAAGCAGTGACAGCGATAATTTAGCACAATAGATGATTTTAAAAAATTTAGTTTATGACCAAAATTCAACCTAAGAACTTTTTCTAAATTTTCACCTCTAAGGACTAAACAGACCACATTGAATAAAATCAATGGCAAAACCTAGCCATCTGTGAGGCCAAATGTGATTTACCTTATTGTTTACATGATATTTCATTTACTAAGAAATTGGAGCAGAATAGGAGGACACATGTTTAAGCTATCCAAACCCCCTCCTCTACAGGGCACTCTTCAAATTGTTTAGTGTTATAACATTTGACAAATGGTATTGAGCTTGTCTTTCCCAGAGAAATAAAATAGTCCTGCCTTTTTGCAGGACACAGCCAAAGTAACTTCTGCTTAATTTTCAGCCTACAGATGTCTATAAATCACTTCAGCCCTGTTCCCTAAAGACCATTGTAATACCCTTCAATTCCCTTCTGTCCCACTGAGCACCTCTTGTATTCAATGCTTAAATGTTTCACAAAATCCATGAGAGTACTGATAATTGATCAATTTTGATGTTTGCTGGTATAAATATAATTGACAATTATTCCACGAGTGCATGTTGGATATGAGATAATAGATAGCCAACAAGGTGTGTAGCGCCGAATTGGCAATAATCATCTCATATCCGACAAGCGCGAGTGGAATAATTGTTTTATTAAAAAAATGCCCCGACGATATTAGAGAAATCTTCTCAACTTTATTTTTTAAGAAGAAACCGGATGTTACAATGTACAGATATTAGATTATGGTATATTGGCTCTGCATACACTATAATGGCTAAGCCAATAAAATTAAGTCTTGAATTGTATTATCCAATGATCCAGTTTTAATAATAGTGCTTATAAAGCACAGTATGATTGGATTTACATGAGAGGACTTTATTATTTTACAATTGGTAGGTAACCCAAATAAGATATCTTTAACAGACCAACAAAGAGTTGAATAATTGATGTTATTAAACCTTTGAATGACTCTTCACAAAAGGGCTTTTGAGAATTGACAATTGATCAAGGTCTGTTCCATAGAGTCTTCATTTCCACAACACAGACAATCATTATCTTGTTTCATATCTTGGCAGCATAATCATTTCTTCATAATTCAATATAAAAATCTGAAATGGAATTCTTTTACTTTATTATCGTACAGATCCTGTATGCCAAATTGAAGAAGGGCTCCCATTCAGCATAGTTTAAATTCATAGTGTTATTCCATTCTACTGGCCCAGTAAGGGATGATTGGTTGATGTTTTTATTTTGGTAACCAATAGAAATCTTTCGCCCTTCTTGTGGATCAACTATTTCAACACCCTCAACTAATTCAATCTTGGAATAATTTCCTAAATAACTTTCTTTGAGAGGTACCTCCATCTCATGTGGTCTAGTTAATAATATTTTTGGGATAGCCTGGTATTTATATCACCTGGTATAAATTAAGGAGATTAGTTCTACAGACATATTTCATTTGGAATTCTTGAAACTAGATAGCTGGCTGTCTATTCCCTTTAAGGAGATCTTTGAATATGAATGACTCCTTTGGAAAACCATTCCTGTAGAAGTTTCTGGATGAATTCATCCCTTTGATTTCAACTTTCTGACAAAGTTTGTTCAATAATATTTCAGCCCCAAGTATAAAATGGTTGAAAAGTACTAGTTTCTTTATGAACTGCCATTTTAATGTGTCAAAAGCTTTTTAAAATCCAATGAAATCAACCTTCCACTGCTCTTCTTGGATAAAGTGTGTTCCATAACACTGTATATCAATCTTATGTTCTCTCCCTTATAATGACCCTTTATAAACCCGGTCTGATTGGAATGCACTTATTTTGGAAGTACTGTCTCGATTCTTTTAACCAAAGTTTTAGAAGCAACCTTACAATGGATATTAAGTAGAGTCAATTCTGTAAGTCTAATATATCAGGGCACCCCTTTGCTGAGAATAGAGTTCTCCATCTCAGTTCAAAGGATTGATTTAAACTTTTTATCACCCACCTATGATAATACAGTATTAATCATAATCGTTGCTTAAGCAATAGATTAAAATTAATGTATTTAGTCACTCATCTTACCACATTCTTTGGATCTTGTAAAGCTTTCACCAAAGCAGGGTGATTGTAACCTGTGTTTGAAGAAGATGAGTATGGTAAAGAGAAAGGCACACAGTGTGAGCAAGCACATTATGCAGGTCATTTTAATTTCCCGATTGGCCCAAAAAACAGTGCTCACAAAGGGCAGGCCTGTGGCTCAGCAGCTTTGCAGCAGCCTGTGGCTCAGCAACCTGAGGCACACTTCAAAGCCCAAAGTCTACAGCCCATTCATTCAAGGACTACTTGTTGGCTAGCATGTGAAAATTAAAATCCCTTCTGCCTAAGGTACAAGAGATATGATGCTGAGTTTTAGTGCTTGTTAAATCTTATCCATCTTAGGTGATCTTAGGATCACTTTAAATTACTCTCTTAATGAGAGGAAGCTGCTTATGCCTAGGTATGTGTACTTTGGTCAAACTTAGGACTGAAGAATCTAGGCTAAAGTTAAAACAGCTTTCATCTCAGATGACAGAAACCTAATACTTGGGTATTTTGCTACAGAACCCAATGACACTACAGATATCAGCTCTCAAACAAGGCAAGTATTTGCTTCATTAAGAGGGGCACTACATGGACAACACCAAAATAAGAGGACCAAAAGTAGGGCACATGGAGAATACACCTTGCACCACTTGTCTCTATTACAACACCTCTTGTGAGAAAACAAAACTACCAAACTAGAAATCTGAGAGCTTTTATTTCTAAAAGATGAATGTCTTTGATCCATCCTCCATACTGGTTCCCAAGGGGATGCAACAAGGTGTTCCTCATTTACCATAGACTCCTTAATTTTAGGAGGACCTAATGTCATTATACCTAAGCTTAAACATTTCCCTAGTGCCAAAATGAAACAGTTGAAAGTATTTCAAAGATCAAGTAGAATTGATGTGATTACCCAAGCACAGAAACTTACAATCACCCATCTTGCATTGCAGGGAACAGTCTACAAAATTTTGAAATGTCAGCCATAAAGTGGGCCTTAAGATCTTGGATTTTAGCAATACCTCTCCCATTGGACAGTCACAATCAGCGGCAAAATCATTTGAACACTATTGAAAAACCTTTTCCATTAATACATACCAAAGTGAATACAATAAAACACCATAATATATTGAGGGGGAGGGGTGGAGTGATTAGGGAATCATTCCTTAAATCAACAAACCTAGTGGAACAGAAGCAATTTGTTGAAAAACGTCTAACAAAACATTGCCATCAGCATCAACAATGTAGTTTCCTATACTCTTCTCAAAATCAACAAAATATGACATTCCCTTTGTTAGCTGCAAGAAGAAAACAAAAACAACCAAAATCTCTGAAAACATTCATTTAACAAATTTCCAAGTTGGGACGAGGCCTGTTCAATGGTAAAGATTATTGAAACCCCAGCCATTGGGCCCTAGCCTAAACAATCATTTTCAACAGCGAAACTCCTGGTAATTCATAGTTATTCTACAAATAGGGTCTGTACAAGGTGGTACTCTTAGCATGTGTTGTCAATTGTACCGCGGGCATGCCAATGTCACGGCTTTAGTCTTGTCCACTGGGCGTTTGCGCACAACGCATGCCCTACACTTGTACATAGCTGAGGAGACGAGACATGCAGAAAAAAAAATGCAAGCTCCGCTTTTAGGCTAATATGGCTAAATCTATATAATTTTTTTTATTATACAGGCAGATCAAACAGACACAAGCAAGGACCGTCCCTAGAGTGAGCCTAACATTCCATACATCTGGCAGAAATGTTTAACTTTTACTCAAATTCAGATTCTTGAGGCCTGGCCAGTGTATTAGTGGTCAGTAGGAATGAGTGAAGTTCCTGCAACTGCAGCTACAAAAGTATTATTTTGCATATCATAATTATAACAAAGCAAACCTGCACTTGAGATAGTTCTGTCATCAGCTCCTGCCACAGAACCAGCAAAGTCAAATTATGTCACAAACATTATCAAGGTAATAGCTAACTAGTAACAAACCATCCAAACAAAATTGAAGAGAATAATCAAACACTTATTTCAATGAGGCATATGTATAAATGTTGACAGCCTTAATAAAGGAGAACTTCAACTAGGATTAATTGAGGATTGCAGCAACCACACCAGTCAATATATAGCTGGCTGAACTACACCCTGAGCAGCGGAAAGGGCATAGGATTCTATAAACTTGAATTGAACTGATATTATAAACGAATCACTGTTCCTTGAAATATTGAAATAAAAACTATTCATGTGGCCTGTTATAATATATGCAAAGTACTAGTAGTAAAATAATTTTACTTTGGAGCGTGGTCCAGGAATAGCAGTCTTAATTGCTGGCTTTTCATACTCTTGAGATGGTGAAGAAAATCTGGCAACCAATATCTGAGCACCAAAACATTCTAAAACAAAACAATCAACTTGTCACATAAATATTGAACCAAAAGTTTATTGTGATGAAAGCTTTGAGCAGTCTCCATTATTCATGCACCTTTGCAAATTTTTCTGCAGTTATCAAATGGAACATGATAAACCTGCTAGTGAGGCACCTGTTGGTGAGGCACCTCTTAGATTTGACATTTTTCTCAAAACCTGCACGGTCAGGTCAGATTTACTGTACCATTGATGTTACTGACTAACTATAGAGTATATAAAGGAGAAAGGCTGATAGTTTTGAAAGAGACTGTTTGGGGCTGCGTCGGTGGGGGTAATGAAATAATTTGGATGTATCATCAAAGTTGAAATGGTAAATTGGCCACCGTGAAACAACTTATATCCAAATTATGTAAAGGAGAGTTGAAATTGGAGCTGAATAGAGCTGAATAGAGAGAGAGGACCTAATGCAAAACAAATTTCTAATGCAAAGGAGAATAACACAAATTAGAAGACACTCGCATGAGGCAGTTTCCATGTAGGAGGAAAATAATACAAACATGGAGATGAAGCATGAAATGTCATGGTAAATAAAATAAAAATAATTTATTTAAAGTTGATAATGTAGGAGGTGGTTGCCCAATCTTCCAAACCTGTGGCTCATGTTAAAAACCCGTGACTCCAGGTCAAATTAAATAATAAAAAATAATAATAAAATGTAATAAAAAAATAAATAATAATAAATTGGAATGAACGTTGATTTTTGCAGTTGGAGGAAAAAAACAGGGATTGCTATGGTGGCTCTCAAGGGCCATCCACCGACAAAAATTTTCATGACTTTATCCCGCCATAAGTTTTGCTAAGTCTATTCATTCAAAAAATTTGCAATCAACATTATCGTGCGATAGATAAACTTACCGCGTGATAGAACTACTTATCACGCAATAGAACAACTCATCGCGTGATAAGTAGTTCTATGGCGCGATAAGTTGTTCTATCGCGCGATAGAACACCATCGCGCGATAGAAAAACTTATTGTGCGATAGAACAACTTATCGCGCGATAGATCAACTTATCCCACAATAGATAATATTATCGTGCGATAATTTTATTACTAGCTCCCATAGCCCCACGACTATTAGCACATGGTCACATCTATAGCAAGATGGCGGACCAAGTTTCGAAGGTGAGTAACTGTCCATGAAATAAAGACTTTTATTCTAGATTTTGAGCAAGAGACGGTAATCTTTGGATTAAATTAAATTATATTTCTATGCTATATTAGTAAGTGAGGTTAAAGATATGAGAGGGACTTTATTGCTCCATATTTGAAAGATTATTTATGAATATAAGGTGTAGGGATACATTTTCAAACTATATAAAGTGCATAAGGTGAAAGATTGTTTATGAATATAAGGCATAGAAAGCATAGAAATATAATTTAATTTAACCCAAAGATTACCGAGTCTTGCTCAAAAGTCAAGAATAAAAGTCTTTATTTCTTGGACAATTACTCACGTTCGAAGCTTGGTCTGCTATCTTGCTATGGATGTGACCACTTGCTAATGGTCGTGGGGCCATGGGAGCTAGTAATAAAATTATCACGCAATAATATTATCTATCGCACGATAAGTTGTTCTATTGTGCGATAAATTGTTCTATCGTGCGATAAGTTGTTCTATCGCGCGATAAGTTGTTCTATCGCGCGATAAGTTGTTCTATCGCGCGATAAGTTGTTCTATCGCGCGATAAGTTGTTCTATCGCGCGATAAGTTGTTCTATCGCGCGATAAGTAGTTCTATCGCGCGATAAGTTGTTCTATCGCGCGATAAGTTGTTCTATCGCGCGATAAGTTGTTCTATCGCGCGATAAGTTGTTCTATCGCGCGATAAGTTGTTCTATCGCGCGATAAGTTGTTCTATCGCGCGATAAGTTGTTCTATCGCGCGATAAGTAGTTCTATCGCGCGATAAGTTGTTCTATCGCGCGATGAGTTGTTCTATCGCCCGTAGATGATAAATCGAACAACAACAAACATATGAAACATATGAGTGAACTGCGGTTATGAGACGTATATAAGAACGATCCTTCGCAGTAAAGCACTATTTGAGCAATAGTGGAAATCAGACCTGAAAAAAATTTCAGGCCTGTACGGGATTCGAACCACTGACCTCTGCGATACTAGTGCAGCGCTCTACCAATTGAGCTAACAAGCCAACTGGGAGCAGGCCATCAAATTAATTCGATATAAACCCGTAGATGATAAATCGAACAACAACAAACATATGAAACATATGAGTGAACTGCGGTTATGAGACGTATATAAGAACGATCCTTCGCAGTAAAGCACTATTTGAGCAATAGTGGAAATCAGACCTGAAAAAAATTTCAGGCCTGTACGGGATTCGAACCACTGACCTCTGCGATACTAGTGCAGCGCTCTACCAATTGAGCTAACAAGCCAACTGGGAGCAGGCCATCAAATTAATTCGATATAAACCCGTAGATGATAAATCGAACAACAACAAACATATGAAACATATGAGTGAACTGCGGTTATGAGACGTATATAAGAACGATCCTTCGCAGTAAAGCACTATTTGAGCAATAGTGGAAATCAGACCTGAAAAAAATTTCAGGCCTGTACGGGATTCGAACCACTGACCTCTGCGATACTAGTGCAGCGCTCTACCAATTGAGCTAACAAGCCAACTGGGAGCAGGCCATCAAATTAATTCGATATAAACCCGTAGATGATAAATCGAACAACAACAAACATATGAAACATATGAGTGAACTGCGGTTATGAGACGTATATAAGAACGATCCTTCGCAGTAAAGCACTATTTGAGCAATTGCAACAGTATTCTATCGCACAATAAGTTGTTCTATCGTGTGATACAGTGTTCTATCACGCAATAAGTTGTTCTATCACGTGATAAGTTGTTCTATCGCGCGATACAGTGTTCTATCATGCGATAAGTTGTTCTATCACGCGATAAGGTGTTCTATCACACGAAAAGTTGTTCTATCGTGTGATAAGTTTATCTATCGCGCGATAATGTTGATTGCAAATTTTTTGAATGAATGGGCTTGGCAAAACTTATCGCACGATAAAGTCATGAAAATTTTTGTGGGTGGATGGCCCTTGAGAGCCACCACAGATTGCTATAATGCGAGCTTGCTATGGTTAGCCAAATGTTGCAAAATTGAACAACTTGCATATTTATATTCAACAACTAACATTTATGCTCAACAAAATATATTTTTATTCAACAGTTTACAGTTATATTCAACATTTTATATTTATGTTCAACGACACGCATTTTCTTTTCATATTCAACCTAAATTATTTTAATTCAACCACAATATTTATTCAACTTCAATAGCTATATTTATTTCACTCAACAAAATTAATTGTTCAACTTCAGTTCAAACTTTTACCCAACAAAAACAATGATTCAACTTCTACCATGCATAGTTATTTAATGACATACCTTCTATTATGACTAAGTGTTTGAAAGTTCCCGGACATGCAAAATATCGTCATTCAACAAAATTCCACCCGCCCACTGTTAAATAAGCTGTATTTAACAGGGGACTGTACGGGGATTTTGTTGAATGACGTTATTTTGAATGTCCGGGAACTTTCGGACACTTAGTCATAATAGAAGGTATGTCATTAAATAACTATGCATGGTAGAAATTGAATAATTGCTTTTGTTGAGTAAAAAGTTTGGACTGAAGTTGAACAATTAATTTTGTTGAGTAAAATAAATACAGCAATTGAAGTTGAATAAATATTGTTATTGAATGAAATAAATTTGGTTGAATATGAAAAGAAAATGCGTGTCGTTGAACATAAATATAAATTGTTGAATATAACTGTAAACTGTTGAATAAAAATTTGTTTTGTTGAGCATAAATATTAATTGTTGAATATAAATATGCAAGTTGTTGAATTTTGCAACATTTGGCTAACCATCGCCTGCGAGCCCGAGCATTATTTTTATGACGATCCGGAACTATTCTTTGCGAGTCCCGGGAAATTAATATCCAAATCTGGACATAATGCCCTTTTATGGTCATGGTCCCAGGCGTTCCTTGTTTAAACCGCAGAAACTGAGGATGAGAGTGTGACAACTTGTCTTATCGTGTACTCGCTGACTGTAAACTCAATTTTCGAAATGTTGTGTTTTGGGAAGATCGCACGGCAAAGATTCCTGTCTGATACGCCGTTCTCACATACAAACGCACACACCGTTCGTGGTAGGCCCACACTAAACGATGTCGTGCGTTTTCGCTCAAACTACGAAAATACTGGCAAAACTGTGACAGCCAATTAACAACAAACTATGAAGCTGAGATGAAGACGTCGCTTAATGGTGGCGCTAACAAGAGCGAATTGGATAGGGATACTGACAGTTCTAAGCAACATGAATAGTAATGTTAAACATCTAAGCTTAGCTCTTCCGTTAAATACCTGTTTTTGTAATTGGTTTCTATCGGGTTCAATACTTGTAATGTACGATTTGATATTTCGCGCACATAATCACTATTATTATTCTGCAAGCGATCGTGAAAGTTGGTTTGCCCTTTGCATGGAGTTACGCGTTCTTAGTAGAAGATATGATGAATACTCTTGATGATGGTGATCTACAAGAAAAAATTTCGGCAAGATTTCCGTATAACCCCATACCCCATTATGCATAAAATTCTTGGATAAAAGAAAACAGGCAAAACAACTGATTACCTTTGGGACTTCGGCTTTATTTTTGACTGGTATGGGGTTAGACGGAAATCTTTCCAAATTTTCCAATATGACCAATGTGCATGAACATAAAAATGTTACAGCGTCATTAAAGGTAAAAAAAAAATTCAGATCTCGTGTTTTGTGTGAATGCTATGGCTTTGTATTTTCGAATAAATTCTACGCGTGGTGAATTCTCAAGTAAAGTGCTCGCTACGAAGCCCGAGTGAACGCTCCTCGAGCGTCTAGTTTGATATTTTTTCAGATTTTCACCTTCAAATGCTTTCTGGAGAGGAGCCAAAGACTGTTAGAATAAAATGAGGAGAGAAAATGGAAGGATATAGAACAAACACTACTGGCTCGCAAGAAGAGGCTCGAGGCTCCCAAAAAACGGCTCCGGCTCGCAGGCTCTCACATTAGTTACTCTCAGAGAAATGAGATGTCTCCAAAAAGTGTCCCAACTCAACCCAGCCATCCCAAAAGAATTGCCTACGTATTCTGCGGTTTTCCAAGATGTTCCGGTTTTCCAAATTTGTAAACGTGTCGCTCACCAAAGCCGCCAACACACGACCTAGAACGTTGGGAAACAGCCATGAAGTGTATACTGAGAAATGACAAAGTCCACGGTGGGGTGAAAAGGCGACTTCATTTTCAATCAACAGCACTCACAAAAACAAGAGTTACGTTAACGCTGGTTTCGTTGGACAAGTTTTAAGGCCATGGGAGCCTATTTGAACTCATAATTTCGAATATGCCTTTTCCCAAGCGCTTAAGTCATTTGTAATCACTGGCCCGATCATTTTCTCATTACAGTCAGCCCAATATTACCATTTAAGTCTATTAATGGGGACAAATGAAAAAGGGTTTTCTTACCTGCAACTCCAGTTCGTTTGATCAAGGAGTTTAACGTTCTCCACATGTTTGCTCGTGATCCAAAGAGAGCCATTTTTACTACCTGTAAGGATCTTCCTCCTTGCAAACCCGTTGCGCAACAATTAGTGACCTAAGTTCTCTTTTGAGCCACACAGTCACTGGTCACGCTTTCCTGCTGGAGAGGAAAGCTCAAGATAACATCGATCTTTATTAATCGGACAGGGATGAAAAACCTCTGCGCATGCGTAGCGTGACCATGTTGATGTTGTCGTTGGCGAGCCGTTCGATCGTTTGATCAACGAAATGTTGGAGCACTTTAAACTGTGTATTCGTGGATATATTTTGCCTTTCAGGCTGGAATGTAAGGACGCTATTTGAAAATAACTTCTGTAAACTGAACTCGTCGACATGTTGAACGTATTATTTTTGGGAAATGTTCATTTGCTTGCTCAAGAGCCACCTTTCAGTACTCGGTAAGGAAACACATTGCAAGCTTAATTTCTTTGAGTATAATTTACCTCCATTTTAGATAATAAGCTAAGATTCAAATTGATAGAAGGTAAATAATACCATGCTTTGGTAATAAATGTGAATCTCGAAAAAAAATGGGACATATTTTTATCAAGGCGAAGCGAAAGCACACCCATCCTACACGGTGTTACATGAACAAGTCAAAAACGCTGCAAAATATCGCGTTACCCCATGCATATCGCTCTCACTGGAACTTAACATTCGTTAAAGTCCTAAGAGTGTATT